GTGTTAGTTAGAGTGTGTGAGTGAAGTGTGTGTGTGTTAGTTAGAGTGTGTGAGTGAAGTGTGTGTGTTAGTGTGTGTGTGTGTGTTAGTTAGTGTGTTAATAGATTATCCAAGTGTAGATCAGTTATTTTATCTAGTAAAAAAAGCATTTCATCCCCCTTCAAAAAAAAAAATACTAATCAGGACTCACTACACAGGACTATGGTGAGCCTACAGGTGTGTAGAGAGCTTTGCTACATTCGTAAGTTAGCTAGAAGGATAAAGCCAAATCTTTTTCATTATATAGTCATTTTATTTCACAACAACATAACATGTATATCATGATATAGTTATTTTTGTTATTTTATCTTTGTTATTAATAAAAAAGAACAGATGCAAGTAACAAACTAAAGGACACTACAATAAAACAGACACAAATGAAATAAACAGGGCCCTATGAAATCATTTCATTTCTTGAATTTTTCTAGATTCTATTTTAATGGTTACATTAAAAATATTAATCAAAAAGCATGTCTAATTAATTGCACAATTTAACAGCAATTTATTAAAAGTTTAACAAAAAATAAATTTTTACGGCCCTATGAAATACATTTTATTATTTTTCTCAAATTCAGTTTTATTTTTCTGTGAATCTGTGTTTCCATTAATTTTCTGGATTCCATTTGAGTAGTTTAATAATTACATTTTAATAATCAAAAGCATATATAATTAATTTATAAAGGATAATTCGATTTTATAAAGAATTTATTATGGTCTATTTCTTTTTTTCAGAAATACTGTGTATTTACAATTTTCTGGTAAATAATTTTTCTGGTAAATATTCCTTAAATATTGTTTTAATAATATTGTTATTAGTAGTAGTAGTACTATCATTACATTAAGTAATATTTCTGTCAAGTTCAACTTCTTTTGATAGGTTGCTGCGAAGAGCTTCTAGTTTTTGTATTTGATGAAAAGAAACGGTAGAAATGCTCATGAAGTGACTCTCAGAGCAGTTCTAGAGGTCATGTTCTTGTATTGCGGCGGCAGAGACTGAAAACACCGGGAGCGTCATGCGTGCTTCATGTGTAGTAAATGAATCCGCGCGTCTGTGTCAGTATTTTACAGCTTAATGTTCGCAGACACTAGTCCATCGCGCTTTGATTTAAGTGTACTGACCTAGGCTACTTTTAAAAAATTCGGATGTTTATCTGAATATGTAAGAATGCAAACATGTTTTCTGTAAGGGGTAGGGTTAGGGGATAGAAAACATGGTTTGGTCAGTATAAAAACAATAGAAGTCTATGGAAAGTCCCCACAATTCACAGAAACAAACGTGCGTATGAGTGTGTGAAGGGCATCCTAGGTGTAGATGACTTTCTTTCAGACGAATCCAGTGGGAGTTATATGAAAAATGGTGCTGGCTCTTCCAAGCGTTAGAATGAGAGTAGGAGGGTGTTTTTGTTCAACAGTCCAAAAGAAGTCAAATAAAGTGCGTGCATCCATAATAAACCATGCCTCACACGGCTCCGGGGGGTGAATAAAGGCCTCCTGTAGCGAATCCATGCGTTTTCATTAGACAAATATCCATATTTAAAATGTTATAAATACTTTTCTCTCACTTCTGCTAACTGTCGTATGTGCAAGTTGTTCCGGCGAATTAGAAATCAAACCAAGGATTTGTAAAGAAGATTGTCGGAGGAGTTGGATACAAGCCAAGAGGAGACTGGTTTTCCTGCTAAAGTAAGGAAACTTCCTGTAAACAAACTCACGAGACTAGCATATCTCAGAGGCGCGCACTGAGCATACGTCCTCCGTCATCCACCGGAACGCCTTCCGCTTATGACAGATACCAGAAGTGAGAAAAAAGCGTTTATAATGTTTGAAATATGGATATTTTTCTTACACAAGTGCATGGATTCGCTACAGGAGGCCTTTATTCACCCCCCAGAACCTTGTGAGGCACGTTTTATTACGAATGCGCATGCTTTATTTGACGTCTTTTGGAACTCTTGGACTCATTCTAACGCTTGGAAGAGCCAGGACCATTTTTAATATAACTCTAACTGGATTCGTCTGAAAGAATAAAGTCATTTACACCTAGAATGCTTCGAGGGTGAGTAAAACACAGGCTAATTTGCATTTTTGGGTGAACTAACACTTTAAAAGAACTGATATTTAACACTGTAAAATATCAGTTGTGCTGATTGTTTTTTTTTGCATGTTTGTGTGCGATACATTTTATTTTTCAGGATTCACAGATGAATAGGAAGTTCAAAAGAACAGCATTTATTTGAAATAGAAATCTTTTTAAACCGTATAAATGTCTTTGCCATCACTTTTGATCAGTTTAATGCATGCTTGATGAATAAAAGTATTAGTTTTTCTCCAAACCTTTGAATGGTCATCTTGAAAATCTTTGCCATTGATTGTAATACAAGAAGTGTTTTTGTCAGGGTTTTGTATGTAGTCAAAATTTGCAAAATGAAGACAATGCATAAATCATCGGAATGGCATTGAATGAGGGTAAAGAGAACAGCTTGATTATTAGCGCTGTGGATTTACTGTGAGGACTTTGATCTTCAGTGTGAGGTCTTCTGTCGTGACACTGATGAATCTCATGTTGAGAGCAGAGCAAGCGCTGATTTCTGCGTTTCTGACCGCACGCTTTGCCTTCTGCATAATCCGCTTTTATTCTTAACGTTTTTGCTTTGAAGCTGTCTAATCTGAGCTGGAGCAGTGCTCTGGACTGGACCGCTGACCCTGGAGGTCATGAGAATGTGGTGTGGGATGCTCTGACGGTGTCGTCTCCTCTAGGCCACAGTGTCTGGTGATGACCGGAGCTCCAAACTCTCGTCCAGCTCTTCTTCATCTGGTGCACGCCTTCACCAAGAACGTGGGTCTGATGCTGTGTGGTCACGTGCGCGCCGTGAGTACCTGAGAGTGTGTGTGTGTGTGTGTGTGTGTGTGTGTGTGTGTGTGTGTGAGAGAGAGTGCGAATGAGTGTGTGTGTGTGTGAGAGAGTGTGTGTATGTGAGTGTCTGTGTGTGTGTGTGTCTCTCTGTGTGAGAGTGAGTGAGTGTGTGTGAGAGAGTGTGTAAGTGTGTGTGAAAGTGAGAGTGTGTGTGTGAGAGAGAGAGAAAGTGTGTGTGTGTGTGTGTGTGTG